GCATTATCTCAAGCGAGATCATGCGACGACTCCTTGTCGCTCGCTCGGTCCGTTGAGCTTTGTGAAGTTGTTTTGAGGTACTCCTTAACATATGCGGTCTATTGCACATGGTTCTCCCTCTGAAGAGCCGGGACTTATCCCTCCTAGATATTTGTCTCGTTGGAGCAACTTCTCTCTTCGCTTCCTTCTCTCTGAAAGTTTCGGAGATCACCATCCCCTTGGACTACTTCGCCTTACTGAACAAACTGTGCATTGTTCTGCCTCCTGCAAATGCACTTACTAGATTGCGATTCCATGTCAATACAGCCCCCACTGCACCCCTTAAGGCCTAGCAACATATTGAACTCGCTGCACACTTCAGCCTCCTACGGACGTATCCTTCTCATGTTGAAGAGAAAGTTTCAATGCTCCATGGCGTCGAGTTTCGGTCGTCTTGGGATGGTCACGAACACTCCATCGTTCGTATACAAGCCTTTGCACGAGTACCGAATTCTTCGAGTTAGCAATTCCCCTCACTTCTGTGAGCTTTGCACAACACTTTCGGTCGTTAAACAACCCATTCCACCTTACATGGTCTCATCTTTTACCAAGCACCTCGCTTGCCTTGAGCACCATCAAGTATAGTTGTCAATGTTGAGCCGTAGCTTAAACTCAGCCATCCCAACCTTTGTGCGCTACGCATTCTTCCCAACTTGCTTGTCCTCGTGGTGCCTCTTGTGCGAATGGTTGGCCATTCCTCTAAATGGCAATCTCAGATGCCTGCTCCTTTGAGCAACTCCTTTTCCCTACATCTCCTTGCCCTTTTTCCCCCCAAACAGTCGCGTGTGTTGGCTGCCCTCAATGTAGCCCCGCTAGGTCCCCCATGTTTGCATGCCAAGTGTTTCTATGAGTACTTGTCCCGCTCTGATACTATCTATCATGGATTTAGCTGGTTTTGCCTAAGTCGTGCGGCACCCTTACATGTCCGTCCACAATGGTCAGCCTCCTTGAAACCTCCTATGGTCGCTTAGGACCTACAAAAAGAGAAAATGGGTTAGAGAAAACATCTCACTCGGGATCCACAAGCAATCATTTCAGAACATTTCATAGCCAATGCAAATTACAAACAGACTTTACAAGCTCTAAACGATCGCACAACAAAGGATCCAAAATGGTTTACTACATATTGAAATCTCCCATAAGTGATCTAATGACACAACCTTTATTTACAAGCATAAAATGACCACCAAACCCAACTAAATTGGGGCTGTTAAGCCTTCGACCGTCCCTCTACATGCTGTGTAAAGTACGAACAAACCAAAAGACACGGACATATATGAGCATTACATTAAACACCCCGTTTACAGTTTTGTCCGTGACAGCACGTCAACTTGACGGGAACTTGCCTTTGCGCCCAACACCCGGGGAGCAGTTGTTTGCAGACTTACAACTGTCCGTTCAACCTTCTAAAGTCATTGTTTTTCTCTTTCCTCTCTTTTCTCTCATGCATGTAAGGTGCTCGTTGAATTGCTTGTAAAGCTTCCTTTTTCACGAGATGTCGAGACTTGTCCACTGCTTGTTTTTGAACTAATCAACTTTATCTTTTACAGGTCCTTCGGGACCTGAGTGAGGTTGTAAATTGGCTGACCCTTTGCAGACGCGTATCGCAAGGGTGCATTACGACTTAGGCGACTCAAGCTAAGTCCGTGACTTTGCCGCAAGGGTGCCTCACGGTTTAGGCAATTCCAACTAAGTTCGTGACAGGACGTCAACTGTAGTGATCTTCCTGGTTTACCAATTCTTCACCAACATGGGGCATTGATCACTTTGAACAAAACCTATATCTTGTGTGTTAGACTCGCACACATTCTTTCTTGGTTTTAAGTGGTTTATCACTACATGCTAGTTAAAACTTCTTTTCTTTAAATGATGAGTTAAAGTTTTGTATTGTAACAGTGTACTCTGTAACTCTGTAACTGCTACTTAGTTAATGCAATATGATTGGGTTAGGATTGCTATAATGTCACATGTGCCTGTGTAATTTGAAGGATTGACCTAACATTATTTGTAACAGGGTCTGTAGTTTGATTATAGCAGCCTCACCAAAGACTCGCAATCCTCTCTAAATGCAAATGCACTCTTTAACTAGAACTCGTATCTAATATAAATCACTATATTGCAATTTACACCTATTGAACTTATCTGTAACCCATTAATCTTATATTGAAGGATGAGTATCAAGCCATCATCTGAGTAAGACTGTATAAGGGTATTGGTAAGATAGATTAAGGTATTGAGTATTAACCATCCTTACCATTGGCTACTACCGTGATCTACATTAGACTATGCAGTTCAAGTTTAAAAAATATGTTCAAGTGTTTTCTTTCTTTTTAGAGCCTAAGAAGTGTACATAAGATGTGTAGGTCCGCATCCATAACAAAGGCCAGCCTCATCAACTCTCTACATTTGGTCAACATGATACACACAGCTTATTTTTCATTGAAGTAGTGGCAAGATATACCTTCCATTCTTCAGATTCAAACAAGCCCTTAACCTCAACTTTTTTTTTTTGGTTTGATTTTATGAAAGTGATCACAGGTATTATCACTATACCTGGATCAGCTCTGTCTATGATTTCTGATTTCTGATTTTATGAAAGTGATCACAGGTACTAAGGATTGATGAAACCAATTGTGCACTATTCACGATTTTCATCAACTTTTTCTGATTAATAGTTTCCTTATCATTTGTATGATGCAATGGACTGCACAAGGTGTTCACTGTTCAGGATAGGTGATCATGATTCGTGAAAATTTCAACTGTCTATCTAAATTTAGCCATAGTATCAATCATCACATACACAATATATTTCTCCTTAACCTCTTCGAGAATTTTGTTGATCAGTTAATATATGCAATGGACACCATAGAGTTCAAATGTCATCTTATGGAACACTATTTATTGGTTACAATAGATCACGAAGATGATTGTGCTTATTCTCATTGACCTCATCTAATATTCACACATTTGGATAACCCCACAAGATTTCATTACTTCTTAAACAAGACATACATAGATTTATCAACCTCTTTTAAACCCATAATGCCACTTAGGGTCTTCAGTTCTACACAAGGTTCAAGTCTTTATGCTGGTAGATATGGCCTGAAGAAGGCATCGCCGCATCGGTATAACAAATGGTTAATGTGGTAGAAGTGGAACCACTCTAATACAATGCAACCATTTTTTTTCTATTTTTATTGTCATAAGAATAAAATAGGATTTGTGTCTCTGATATTTGGGCCTTCCACCTTGACTTCATCCATGTAAAAGTCCTGAACATCCTCCTCATGCTTTCTGTCCCCTGAGGAACTGTATTGAAGTGATGACCTAATCTTCGCAATCATTATCGAGGCTGAGAGAACTTGATCACTACTAATACTGCACATGGAGGTGCCAGTAGGACCTCTACATTGTTGAACCTCATACTGCCACTATCTTTTGATTAAGTAATTAATTCAACTGTGCATGTGAAGTAATAATTTTAACTGTGAATGTGGGGTGAATTTCACCATCTTGATCCCTAGACCCATCATAAGCAGCAGGTTATTGATGTGTGCTTATTAAAATATATTCTGTTCTTTTAACTTGCTTCTCGGAAACTTTTTCTCATCTAAGTCTGGCTCCACCCTTCTATTTTCCAAAAGGCTTCTGTTGTTTATTACATTGGGGAAGTTTTCTGCTCTACTTTTTTCAATCTGAAGACTCTTTTTTTGCCTAGTGCCTACATGTGATAAGATCTTGTATTTTCTCCAAACTCTGCCCATGTACTACCATCATCAATAACAGTATGATCTATAGTGAAACTACAAATAGTTTATCGTATGTTCCACTCAATTAAATTAAGTGAAAGGAATCCACTCATTACAAAAGATAAACATATTAAAGAAAAGGGTGAATGTGTTGTCAGAAGGTTCACCAAATCAGCTCAAATGAGGTCCCTTTCCATGCCACATATGATTAGATGTAATATTCCTAGCCATTATTTGTGTAAAGTAAAGCAAACTTTGTATCTCAGTTTTAGACTTATGAAAAAACTATAGAAATTGCATTTTGGTGAGTTCCACCAAACTCACCTAAACTAGACTTATTAAAATTGTAAAATAAACTTTTCTAATATATACAGGGAAAGATTGTCCCCATGTCTACACTAATTAAAGTGATTCCATGTTATTGTTATGGATGTGTATTCTTAAGGGAATTCTACTAAAGATTTGTGTTTGTTCTTGTATCTTAAAATAGTAAAATGTTGGAAGCTTCAAATTTCTACGTGCCATACATTTGTTAGTAAACAAGGCCTATTAGTGCTATGAATATTGCTAAGTTTATTGGATCTTCCCAATCTTTGAAGAAATTCTCTACAAATAAGCATCTATAATGGGTTATAGAAAATATGAATTCTTTCCTTTTTCTACAAAACTCAATTACAGTCAAGCCTATTTTATAGATCAAATTAATCTAATTGTTTGTTAGAGAAAAGGGGTGTAATATATATTGTACTAATAAAAAATATTCATTTACTATAACATCAAAGTAAAAGAAGAAAGAAAACACAATTCTCTCTGATTAGTATCCGACAATTGATGGCTCTCTGCTGGGATAAGAACCAGGCCATAGGTTGCTTCGAAAATCAATAACTTACAGATGCATCTTCAGAATATTAGTCTGTAATCATTTTGATATCAACATCGTCACTTGGTAGTTTGAGGCTTTGAGCCGCTATTATATCTTTAAAGATTAAGTAGATGAGAAATTGCATACAGTTTTATTCATTCAACATTTCATGATTTGTGATGTGATGAATTTGTTTCTATGGTACTTGTATACTGACATTTCATAGTGGTGTGTGTCACTTAGTGTACACAAGCTTCCTAAGTTTTTAAGGGACGATATTTCCTTGTCTTATTTGTAGATCATTGAATGATGATTACTATTACTATGTCTGATGAGAAATATACTTGTAGGTGATGTTCAGTTCTGATGGCTATGCCTTCCCTGAGACTTTCTTTTTAGGTATGTCCTAAAATTTTATATATCATTTAATGAGAATTGTCATTTGTCTTCAACTTGTCTGTAGCAATTATATGCTATTGCTTACACGGTTGTAGTAGCCAAAAGTTGTGAAGAGTCTTCCATGCTTTCTTTCTTTTTTAATGTTTTAAGCCCCCATTCAGAATTTTACCACCAATCAGAATTTAACATCTTAGTAATCGACCCTGTGGATACAAAGTTTGCAAACAACTTTGCAAACAATTGTATTACAAACAACTCTACTTGTTTAGCCCCCATCCAGTTTTTAATGACATGCTTGTCTGTTTTACATTGATATTTGTATCCAAACAACTCTACGTGCTAATGTCTGCAGCCTGTTAATAATATCATGCAAGTCTTAATCCTTGACCATCAAATAGTAAAATCATGATATTGTTAATTTGATGATTTTTGAGATTTTGTGATTAACTTACAAAATTCTTCTCTTTATGATGCTAAAGATGACTTTTTTTTTATCTACTAATAGATAACAGATTGGTTTTTTACGGAGCTTGTGCCCAAAAATTTCTTGATCAAAATTTGATAATCTAGAACTTCTCTATTGCTAAACTTGGATAATGTCTATTCTCTAGTATGTTATTTTTGAAGTTAATGTTGATCTGACCTAATTTAATAGGTGCCAAGCGGGCACGTGAAGTAGTTTTCAGTGTTTTGTCAACTGCATGTGATGATGGTGATCTTACTCTTCCTGAGGCTTTAGAAGCAGCTGAGGATATCTTTAGAAGGAACTCATTGCAGCTTTACAAACTGCATGGTGTTGTCCAAAGCTCAATATCTCTCAACAAGACTTCTATGGTTACTTCACACCCAGATGGTATAGCATTTGTTCGTATTATTTGGATAGATACATCGGCTCAACACAGATGTCGTGTGAGTAATTCTTTTGATAGAATCTGTCATCAATAAGGGACATGGCATTCTATTTTTTATAAGCTACCTTTGTTATTATTTTTTTGTTAGTTTGAAATTGAAAACCAATGATTTTAAAATCATAAAATATACTTATCAACAAAAGCAATTTGATGAAGCTTAAAATTATATGCCCTTGTAGATAGGGGATACATATTGTGAACTTATTAGATCATAGTATAAGCTTCAACATATTTTGATCAATTAGACACACGTTTTGTGATTTTCCATCTTTATGTTACATTAGGTTCTGTCATGGCTGGAATTTAATAAGTTGTCTTTTGTTTGTTGTATCATTATGTTTGGCAAGAATTTATCCTTGGCAAAACTAAGTCAGCTAGAGAGGCAAGATGCCATTCAACTCTAGGTATTGATATTCATAGATATATGTGCCATTGATAAACTAATCCACATTGACATTTAGATAGTTTGACTTCTTGTTAGTAGTATACATCATATATTGTGACATAGCCTTTTGATAATTTACACTTGTGATTGTGCCCAAAGTTTGACACTGCATATTTTGCAACCTATGATATTCTCCAAATCACATCTGAAGAGTGAGGACTCATGCTTTTTGGTTGTTTGCCCAAGGTTATTTAATTCTGTCCTTAAAAGGGGTGGTTCAGTGCATGATATTCCTGCCAAAATGGAGGGTCAATACACAGCCTTAACCTTGCAAGCAAGGAGTCTATTTCAATGACCCAAACTCTTGACACTCAAGTTGCAAAAAAGAACCTCACCATTATACTGAAGTTTTCTTTCTCAAGAATATCTATACTATGTTCAGTTAAAAAATATGCCACAAAATGAACTATACTGAAGATAGTCTATCTAGTAATGGATTCCAACTGGATGGACTGAACCTAACACAAGCATAAAGGTGGGTAACAAACAGGTGTTAAGAGTGCTGCATATCCTGTTGCTTAAGCGTTGAGTTCCTATAAAGATGACAAATGCCTTAGGTGTAATGAACGCCTTTAAATGTTGAGATGCTATGGGCATGACATGTATTCTATTCATTAGTGTACCAGATGATGCCATAATGAAAGTCACTACATGTATTACATGGCATAAAATGAAGTTCACACTAATAAATTTATTTCAAATAATTAAATTATTTATATTTTCGTGCCTGGCAAGAGGATGTGATTAGTTATGTAAATGATCCTTTTTGTTGATTACTGCATCTTAAGTTATAGCAGGATTATATTTGCTTGATGTGCTCTAACCCAGGTAATACCAGTAAGGCGATTCTATGAAGTTGTTAAGAACTCAGGAGTAGGGTTGACTATGGCATCAATGGGAATGACTTCATTTTGCGATGGTCCAGCAGATGGAACCAACCTAACAGCCGTTGGAGAGATCCGACTCTTACCAGATTTAACAACAAAATACAGGATTCCTTGGTACCAATTCCTTATTTTGTTGTCAATATTTTATTATGTTAATAATTTCCTTGTCAATCTCTGTGGTAAATATTTCTGAAACAGGTATAGCTTTATTTTTTTGCTGACTTTGAAACCTACAAGTGCTGGAAGCAAGAATAATTGATTCTCACAGTGATGCCATCCCAAACTAGTGTGTCATTCCATGTGGATCTTGTACTGGCATTGGCATGCATGTTTGCTGCATGCTGTGCCTCTGTGTATAGTTGGCTACATCTATTATTCAGGGGCATGATCGCAGCTTAACTTGGTTGGCATATGACATGACATCATGATCATGCAATGGAAGTTCAATTTCATTATGCCATTCACCATACTATTTGCACCAAAAATGATTCTTGCAAGAAACATCACAATCCACATGAGAAGGTGATAATTGTCTAAATTAGATAATGCAATTTCAGTAACCAAATGGTGTTAATATTAAAGAAATAGAGGCATATATTTTATGGATATCATTGGAGAAATTGAATTAATAACAACCATGTTATCCATGCCTAGTTTTCTGTAGGTATTGTTTTCTGTAGCTTTTTGCTACTGAATAAAAAGGTATTGTTTTCTGTCTAAATTTCAGTAAGCTTTTTTTCTGTAGTCTCAGCATGAAATAGTCAAATGTTAATAATTACTATGCACAAATGCAGTCAGTTAATATTTGTCTCATGGATGAATGGTTGAAATGATATACTATCAAAATAGAAACAGATGCAGTCCGGCAAATAAAAATGGATGTCTTCATCATATGACAATGAAAGGGTGAAGTAAGATTGAGAAAGCAAATTAGTGGTGAGCTAGAGAAGAGAACATTATACCATAGTAATTTTCTTTGAAAACCTGAAATTCAGCTTGACAATTCTTCTTCCATAAGCTCTGTGAGTTTGACTTCTCAGTATTTCGCAAGCAGATAGCCTACATTTCCTTCCAAACTCATTTTGACTCTATGTAAGTGTTTGTGTGCTCAAATTTCAATTAGATTTTTCACCTTTCCTATTCCAGAACTTTGTCTTACCACTTCAGTGTGCTTGATACTGACAATTTTCTGAAATGATTCGTCATAGTGATAATTATGTAGGTAAAATCTTGCCTTCCAAATTGAATATATTTTTTGTAAAATTCTTTAACTGAATTGCTTCAGTTCTCATCTCAAAGTTTTATTTAGATGTGATTCATTAACGAAATGGTTAAATGCTATATTTACCCAAATCATGTCGTTTATGTTTAGAGATGTTTATTTTTTAACAGGGCAAGCCAAGAAGAAATGGTACTGGCTGACATGCAAATAAGGCCTGGTGAAGCTTGGGAATATTGTCCAAGAAACTGCTTGCGGAGAATGTCAAAAATCTTGAAAGATGAATTTAACCTGGTGAAGTACAACTTCATAGTACATTAAGCATCTAAAGTTCTAAACCATCAACTTTCACTATTGAGTGGTTTTTATATAGGAAATGAATGCAGGATTTGAAAATGAGTTTTATCTTCTCAAAAATGTCATAAGGTACTTTCGTTGAACACTTAGTTTTGGATGCTTATACATTTGGCTTATTTCGAAGAAGCTTATGCAGAGATGGGAAAGAACAATTGGTTCCATTTGACAAGACGCGGTACTGTTCTACTTCAGCATTTGATGCTGCATCTCCTATTTTACAAGAAGTTAACTCTGCTCTTCAATCCATGGATATTTCAGTTGAGCAGGTATTATTTTAGGCTCATCAAGATCTTTCCCCCCTCCCCCTTTTTTTTTTATCAGATGTTGTCTTGTTGACATGCTGTGGACATATCCACTCATGAACAGTAATTAATAGTTAAATATTCTCAAGATATGAGATCTAACATTTAAAACATAGCAACAAGACAGTCTTATATTCCATCAGAATTTATTGATTTTTATTTCTGTGCTATCTCAATTTAATTAATGGGCATGGACACATTAAACGTTTGCAAATGTTGCTACATTCCTTTTTCATCGTCACATATTCAATTGATACTTTGACATAGCCACTCCTATTCTTTTTATCTTTTATCATGTTTCGTACCTTGTCTAGAAAGCATGATTATCACAAGGCTTTTTATGAGATACACATTCTTCATATAATTGGAAATAGAAAATTCTGTCCTGTAGCATATAAGTCGTCCGTTGATAACGATCGAATTTCGACTATTCTGATCGGTACAAACCCCGTATTGAGCGATACGGGATCACTTAGCATATACCACCCGGTACAGGGTGGTTCATGACGTCACGTACCAGTCCCCTATTGGATAAGTACGTATTACCCATACTGGGTGGTATACTACAGCACAACAAACCTAGCTAAAAATACATGTGATTATAGAACTTCTATCCACCTTTCTCTTTTCTACAATAATCATTTATTGCAATCTTCAGATTATTAACAGAAGTCTGTAAGATACATACGGTAAAAGAATTTTATTTGTATTCTTTAACGATAAAGATTTTGAAGGTCATAATGGGTTTTTACCTGTCTGAAATTGTTTGACTCATTTGTTTTCCATTGTACAAGATCATCAATTGTTTTCTCTGTGCAAATAAGGTCAATTAGTTCTAATGTCCATTTAGTAGACAAATTTTTATGACACTCTTGTTAAAGTAACTACATAGTTTAAATCATTTGGCTAATGGGTAATTTGTTGATTGAAGCACATATTATTTTTCATTTGTGTTTTATAGTGTTTATTTCCCTTGGTACTGTTATTTTTAGTTGTGGTTTCTTTCTTGAGACAATTATTTATTCAAGCGTTTCTGTCCTAATAGCTTCATGCAGAAGCTGGACAAGGTCAATTTGAACTATCACTGGGGCATAAAGAATCTGGTCTTGCAGCTGATAACTTGATTTATGTTCGTGAAGTTATTAGGTCCATCGCAACAAAGCATGGATTATTGGCTACCTTTCTTCCAAAGTATGTTCATGCTATATATCTCTATTGATATATTGATTGAATTATGCAAGTGATCAAAACATATGATGATTGCATTATGCAAGTGTTGCTAGTTCCAGATATTATTTTAAGCAAAGTGTATTAGTGTCAGCGTGAACCTATTTTCAGAGGCTCATAGCTACTCAAAACATATAAAGTTATGATCTGTGTCACTTGAGGACTTGGTATGTTACTTGGCTTGGAAATATTGGACTGAGTTAGTTGGTTCACTGTTTCTGGTCATAGTATACCTTAAATAGCTGACTTGGATTGCTTTTATGATATATTGATTTTACCGAGGGCAGACATTGGTATAATGGTAAGGTTGCTCCTTTGCGACTTGGGAGACCAGGGTTTGAGTCACAAAGACAGCCTCTTTAAATATTTAAAAGTAAGGCTGCGTACGTCCTTTTAGCATTCAACCTGATCGATGACAGTGGTGGTAGTCAAGGATTATCTTTTTACTGTCAGACCATACCAGAAAGTACAAACCACAAATCGCAGCTTTGGCCTGCTTTAGGAAGGGGTGAAAGTAATGGATCTACAGCAAGACATTCTGACTGTGTTATTCACTGCTAGTTCCATGCTTGGATAAAAGAGGAGGCTGCATTAGGTCACAGATAGCCAGAAAAAGTTTTTTCAGATTTCATGGATTTTAAACTATTGTTGTTGTTGTTGCATAATGAATATAGCCTTAATGAACAATCACATAAATTTATCCCTATAAATTTTTAGCTTTTAAATTGAATAAGAGATAGGACTGATGAATGTCATTGCCTTACAAATAAGGCAGACAAATTGTTGCATTCTCGTTATGACCTTGGAAAAATGTTTGATCTGGATGTATCTGATATTTTATTATGATTAGAGAAGATAGTATGTTTATTTATCAATATAAAGTATATGTTCTCCATCGATCAAAATGTGATCCTTAAAACTGGTCATCCTGACATGATCCTTGATAAAGTTTGTTTATAAGTAAAAACAAATACAATCTTTAATCCTCATGTCATTTCTCGCTTTATAATTATGAAGAAAAATAAACTTTTTGACTTCAACTTCTAATTGATGTTACTTCCTTTTTCAAATTATTTGCTATGAAATAAAAGATCCTGGTAAGAATATGCAGCATTTTTTATTATTTTTTTGTGGATTTGTGAAATTTCTGCATTTTTCCATTAAGCATACACACACACACACACACACACACACACACACACACACACACATATATATATATATATATATATACATGCAT